CATCCTACACATTTCTCAGACGACAAGAGTCTGTCGGGATTAGGGAGCTGCGGATCCTTCCAAGTCCGGACCCGGGTGGGTTCGGGTCTAATCTTTTATTTTTTGTTGGACCCGCTGGACCCTAGATGATATAACTGTACGTTGAATTTTTTTCTGAGAGTAGCGAATAAATAGCTGAAACCTTGATCCTTCACTTGTTCATGTATACGAAGAGTGTCAAGTATTGATGGAAAAAAACCTCAGGTTTGAACTCGGTCGGTCCTGGGTGCATAAAAACCGGGACTCGCAACTTCCGAGTAAGGATGGTCTCGGAACTAGAAATTTTGAACCCGATAGATTCTTGTAGTCTGAGAGATGTGTAGGATGCACACTGGTCACCGAATACAAAAACAAACTGGAGAAAGTATCTCGAATTCTCGAAGTCATTATCCAATTTCATTGCGAGTATGAAAGTACAGTTCGACCGTGATGAGCTTCAATTTACAAATGAAAGAATGGTGTAGAAAATCTAAATGATTGATTAATCATTTACCAGTGTTACAAAAAATTTCCGAGGGGAAGGATGAGTGCGTGTCCATATAGTGCTTTTCTTCATCTATTCAATCAATAAACTCACACTCTGAGTAGAGAAAACATCTGATCAGATGATGTTACAGAGCAAAGTAATTATTACTTTCAGAACATATACCAATACATATGGACACGTGACTATACACGTGCAAGCAAACAAATGTATTTTATTTTATAGAGGAAAAGTGAGTATCGGATAATCGTTCACTTGGATACAAGTGTCTGTACGAATAATTCTTCATTTTTCTCGAAAAAATAGATGTTGATTATGAAGAAGATAAACTCTATATAAAATAAGATTTTTAATAAACCTGATCAATAAATGTTAAATGACGTTGAATAGTAGCTTCATAATCATCTTTTTGTAATTGTAAACGATGTTCTAATTCACGTTCAGATTCTTTTGCATGACGAATATTTAATTCACGTTGTTGATTCTAAATTTATAATATGAAAATTTTTAATAATTTTTTCTTTTACTTCAAGTTATTAATTTACTAATCGTTGTTGAAGAATAATTAATTGTCGTTGTTTTTCTTCATTATCCATTCTTAATTGTAAAACTGTTTCTGTAACATCATGTGCTGTTCGAGTTGCTTCACCATCATCATCATCATCATCATCAATATCTTCTTCAGCTGATTTTACTGGTTGAACAGCAACCATTAAAGATTTATGTGGTGTTGTAATCTATTTTTTACTGTTTATTATTATTATTATTTTTTTTTACAATAATATTTACTTTAGTTCCCTGTTTAGCCTGTTGATCAACCGATGGTGATGCCCTATTTTGTGGTACAGCAATTGATTGTGATACTTTCTTTGGTTGTTGTTGTTGTCGAGTTGATTGAGGTGGAGTAGTAAAACGAACT